TCACTTACCCTCTCTGGCCCTCAGTTTTGATGAAAGAAGAACCAGTGGCCCCTCAGTGGGCCTCCGTGTGTGCAAGAGCTCTCGTGGGGTTCACTGTGAGGAGTTAGCATGGGTGTTGAGCATGTCGGGATACTGGAGGGGCTGGGGAGACCAAAGGGGGTTTCTCTCCCTGCCCAGAGTTCTCAGAGACTCCCCCAAAGGGAGAGTAGGGTGTGAGGGCTTCTGTGGGGGAGGCTCGGGGGACCCCCAGATTCCAGTGCTGGCTGCTCAGCCTCCCCAATGTCTTGAGTCACACCATCCCTGTGTCCGGGTGGCTCTGTCCACCAGCCAGCCGTGGACTGAGCCTGTGTCCATCCTGGTTCGGGAGGCAGAGCGAGGAGGGGCAGAGGCCTGTCCTCCGCTGGCTCGGAGGCTGGAGCCTGGCCTGGCAAACTATAAATAGCAAGAAGGAGCTCGGAGCTGCTGCTCTGCCCACTCTTCCTACGCATGAGTCAGCCTGCCCGGCCTGGGTGGCACCCGAGGAAGCAGAGCCCAACCCAGGGCCCGCGGTGCACAGGAGACGAGCCAGCGCCCGGGGCGGCCAGCGCCCTGTGCCCTGTGCACAGCAGCCCCATGCAGGTGGGCATCGGGTACACTGGACACAAGAAACCACAAGGTGCAACCCGAGCCTGTTACAGGCGGGGAAACTGAGGCTCCGTGGTGTGCTTCTCATGCACAGCATTGGACCAAAGGAGCTCTGTGTGCCCACGGGGCTCCTGTGGCTGAGAGATGAAGGCTGGGGGGCTGGGTCACCATCTGGGACCCCAGGCGGCAGTGGAAGCCATGAGAGCGTTGGAGCACAAAAGGTCGTGGTCAAGAGTGAGCGTTGGATGCCAGGAGGCCAGGCTGGGCTGAGTCAGGGAGACAGAGACACAGTGGCACGTCTGGGTCCCAGGGCCCCAGCAGGAGGGAAGATGGTACACTTGGGGGGCACGGCCAGGTCTCTAAGCAAGCAGGAATGGTGCCCCCCATACACATCTCAGCCAAAGCCATAGAAGCTGGACAGTGGGAATCAAGGAGCTGAGAGCCGGGGTTCCCACACCCCACAATGGGAGCTCACCACCTCCCTCACGAGCTTCTGGCCACCCAAGGCTCTGAAAAGCCCCTCTCGTGGCTCCTGAGGGGCCTCAAGATTTCCTAGGAAAGTATAATTCACAGTAGCCGTGGACTGCCTCACTCCCCCCCCCCCCCCCCAGTGGCCTGCTGGACCTCCACGTCCAGTCTTTCCTGTGACTCTGCCTAGACGAGGTCAAGATAGGCCATCCACCTCCTGGTCTTCAGGAGGGAGGCGAGGGGGCATGGCTTCTTGTCATCTTTACCTCTGACACAGAGTCACACAAGCAGGTGCATCCCAAAGAGAAATGTTTATTCCAAACCAGGCATCGTAGCACCCGCCTGTAATCCCCACCGTCAGGAGGACCGTGAGTGTGAGGCCAGCCTGGGCTATCTAAAGAGACTCTCAAAACGAGAAGCCAGGCTCCAGGGGCTCACACCTGTAATCCTGGCTACCCCGGAGGCTGAGATCTGGGGACTGAGAGTCAAAGCCAGCCCAGGCAGGGAAATCGGTGCGACGTTTATCTCCAATTAACCAACAAAAAGCTGGTGTGGAGCTGTGGCTCAAGTGGTAAAGCGCTAGCCTTGGGCAGAAGATCTCAGGGACAGGGCCCAGGGTCTGAGTGCAAGCCCCAGGACCGGGGTGGCCCGTGCGTGTACACACACACACACACCTGGCACAAGGAGATAAAGCCCTCTTTGAAGCTGTGTCCGCCCGGGTTCCCACTAGTGCCCGCTTGGAGCAGGACCCACAGCCGCCGTGCTGCCCTGACCTCTCCCCTGCCCCCGGGGGTGTGGGCGGGGCTCGAGGCCCCGCCCCCGGCCACTGATTGACGGATGGATGGATCCCCCACCCTGGGATGTCCCGGGGCGCTGCCCAGGGACCCCCGCGTCTCAGAGGAGGAGGTGAGGAGGGGACGGTACAAGGTTTTGCGGGGAGGGGGGGTCTGGGGCCGTCCCCCTTCCCCCCATTCCCGCAGTCGGGGGTCGGTGACCTTGGGCGGGGCGGGGCGGGGCGGAGCGCGGCGGGGGCGGGGCCTGCGCGGGGCGGGGCCTGCGCGGGGCGGGGCCTGCGCGGGGCGGGGCCTGCGCGGGGCGGGGCCTGCGCGGGGCGGGGCCTGCGCGGGGCGGGGCCTGCGCGGGCGTGACGGCGGCGGCGGCGGCGGCGGCGGCGGCGGCGGCGGCGGCGGGCGGGGGGCGCCGCGGAGCCGAGCGGACACCGAACGCATCCGAAGAGGAGGAGGAGGAGGAGGAGGAGGAGCGGCGGCGGCGGCCAGGTAGGCGGCGGGGTCCGCGCTGGGCCCGCGCCCCGGCCTCCCTCCTGCCCGGGCGCCCCTTCCCCCCCCGGCCGACCCCCGCTGCGGGCCCGCCCCCCCGGGGCTGACCCGGGCTGTCCCCTCGTGGGGCTCCCTCCGCGCGCCATCTGCGGTGCCCACCCTCCCGACCCCGGGCCGATGGAGCCCTCGCTCCGCTCAGGACCCCCCCTCCGCCAAGGCCCTCCCTGAACCCCGGGAGGCCCGGCCGCGCCCCCTGCCCTCCCCCTGGCCCCAGCCTTCCCGGGAGCACGCCCGTCCTGCGGGAGCCCCTGCGGTCAGGGACCCCCGATCGGACGCCGCCCCCCGAGCCCCGGGCTCGGGCTTCTGCTGCCCCTGGCTGAGGTTGCTCCCACCTCGCGGGGCCCAGCCTGGCGCTCACTGGCCGGCGGACTCGGGGTCCCCGAGGCCTTCCGGGCCCCGGCTCTCAGGGTGCGCTGCCTGGCAGGGGCAGAGCCCCGGGGCCCTGCAGGCGCACAGGGTGGGATTCGAACCCTGCCCTGCCTTGTCACCTCCTCACTCTATGACCTTGAGCCAACCCCTCCCACCCCCCCAAAAATTCAAGTTCAACGCCCAGGACCACTGCACCCCAGCGGGGCCCATGACGGGGGCCACTGCGCCTGCGCTAGCGTACAAACTGAAGGTCCTCACGGTGGCTCCCAGGCCCCCGGGGGGGCCCCTCCAGGAGGACACCCCAGGGAGTGGAGGCTGTGGCTCACAGCACCCCCAGGGAGCCTGAATCCCCCCGTCAGTGACCTCGATCCCCAGGCTAGTGGTGACAGTTTCGATCTGCACACTCGTGTACGCACTTTTGGGGTGACCCCCTGGGGAAGTGCAGTGTTTGCAGAACTAGATGACTCCCCCAGTACCCTCCAGCCGCCTTCTGGGGTGCAAAGCATGCAGCCGCACACCTTCCTGCCAGTCACAGAGTTAGTGCTCAGCTCCTGCAACTTTGCCTGTCTCTGGGGCCTGTGTGTCAGCTTGTCCCTTTCAACCCTTTTCTTTTAGGCCAGTCCTGGGTTTTGAACTCAGGGCCTGGGTGCTATCCCTTAGCTTTTTTGCTCAAGGCTGGCACTCTACCACTTGAGCCACAGCGCCACACCTGTTTGTTTGTTTTTTTTTTTTTTGGTAGTTGATTGGAGATAAGTGTCTCAGACTTTTCTGCCCAGGCTGGCTTTGAACCACAATCCTCAGTTTTCAGCCTCTTTCCTGAGTAGTTGGGATTACAGGCATGAGCCACTGGTGCCAGCCTCCCCCCCCCCCCTTTGATCATGGTTGCCTTTGCCTTTGATCATGGAAGCCCCTGGGACAACCCCCTGCATCCTTGCCCCCCATCCCCCAACAGAGCCCTAGTGGTTGTAGTAATAACTGTTCCTCGCTGTCTACCCGGCTCCTCCGTGCCAGGCCCTGTCTACGGTGCGTATCACAGCTTCCAGCTTCCTCACAAGCTGGGCATGTGAACAAAACTGACTTGAATCTGCTTATTCCGGTTCCTACTGCAGGTTCACACTGCAGGGTCGTGTCCGCTTCTGAGGTCACCTTTCCCACACATGACCGAGGGTCAGAACTTGCCCACAGTGCCTGGGAGGGAGGCAGGGAAAGCTTAGAAACTGATTCCTTGTCTCCACCTCTGCCTAGATGTATTTGCCTTCCTATGCCCCTTCCCTACAGTTCTTCCCCTCCCATTTCCAGCCCTTCAGGAATCTCTGTGCTGTGTGACCTTCTGAGATTGCTAGACCTCTCTGAGCACAAAAGAGAAGAGGACTCTCTCCCTCTCATAAAGCATGTCCAGAGAGCAGGTGGCCAGAATGGGCCTCACTGTGCAATGAGGAGCTTTATCTTTAGCTTCAAGCTTTTGGGTTTTTGTTTGTTTGTTTGTTTGTTTGTTGTTGTTGTTCTTGTGCTTGGTCTATGAGCTCCTGTCTCCCTCAGGGATGGAGGAGCGGGGAGGTGGGGAGATGACACTCCAGGAGATGAAGGACTTGGTTGGTAGCCATACAGTGTAGATGCCAAGGGCTGTGGTTCCTGTTCCATGCCGTTAGGGGAGCTGGAACCCTGAAGTCTGCATTTGAAACCCTCTTCCTCCCTCTCCTGTACTGGGAGCTGCCAGGGTTCAGATGCTCAGGCCATCAAGGTGATTTGCTGAGCTGGTCACACTACACAGGTGCCGAGCAGTGCCTGGCTCTCATAAACCAGATAGGGACGAGGGGAAGGAGGGGGGAGAAATGGCCCAGCTGGAGTAGGGAGACCCCTGTATGGGAGGGGGCAGGGAGGGCTCAGGTACTCACGCACCCCTCCCAAGCTTCTTCCCACTCCCAGTACCCTTGGGGAAGAAGGCCCCAGATTTTGTTAGAAGCTACGCCAAAAGGGGCTGGCACCCAGCCCGCCTGTGGGACAGAAGTGCTAAGTCAGCCCGGCCTGCCAGAAGGGCCTTCTAGGACACCTCCTCCTAGGAGCCCCCCCGCCCCATTTCTGCATCCCAGTCCCCTGGCAAGCTAGGTGGCCTCTGACCATTGTCTCTGCACAGGGTTCACCTGGGGTTCTTAGCAGCTAGCCCCCCAACCCCCCTCGCGGTGCCCACTCGGCCTCGGGAAGATGCCGGAGCAGAGCAACGATTACCGCGTGGTGGTGTTCGGCGCTGGCGGCGTCGGGAAGAGCTCACTGGTCCTGCGCTTTGTGAAGGGCACGTTCCGGGACACGTACATCCCCACGATCGAGGACACCTACCGGCAGGTGATCAGCTGTGACAAGAGCGTGTGCACGCTCCAGATCACAGACACCACGGGCAGCCACCAGTTCCCCGCCATGCAGCGGCTGTCCATCTCCAAGGGCCACGCCTTCATCCTGGTCTTTTCCGTGACCAGCAAGCAGTCGCTGGAGGAGCTGAGCCCCATCTACCAGCTCATCGTGCAGATCAAGGGCAGTGTGGAGGACATCCCCGTGATGCTGGTGGGGAACAAGTGTGACGAGACGCAGAGGGAGGTGGATACCCGCGAGGCCCAGGCCCTGGCGCAGCAGTGGAAGTGCGCCTTCATGGAGACGTCGGCCAAGATGAACTACAACGTGAAGGAGCTCTTTCAGGAGCTGCTCACGCTCGAGACCCGTCGCAGCATGAGCCTCAACATCGACGGCAAGCGCTCCAGCAAGCAGAAGAGGGCCGATCGCATCCGGGGCAAGTGCAGCCTCATGTGAGCCCCGAGGCCCGCCCACCGCCACCGCCCGTCGTCATCATTGCCATCGACATCTCCTCGGCCACCGCTGCCTCCTCTTCCTCTTTCTGAGTCCTCCCTAATCCATGTCTTCCTCCATGTTCCCCTCCCCCCCCCAATCTTCCTCCCTCTTCCTCCTTCTTCCAGGTCTTCTTCATCTTCCTCTTTCTTTCCTTTTTTCTTTTTTTTTGTCGGTCATGGGGCTTGAACTCTGGGCCTGGGCGCTGTCCCTCAGCTCTTCAGTTTAAGGTGAGAGCTCTACCCCTTGAGCCACAGCGCCACTTCTGGTTTTCTGGTGTTTGTTTGTTTAATTGGAGATAAGAGTTTCACAGCCTTTCCTGCCCGGACTGGCTTTGAACCACGATCCTCAGATCTCAGCCTCCTGAGTAGCTTAGGATTACAGGCGTGAGCCACCGTACCTGGCTTTTCTTTTCTTTTCCCTCCTTCCCTGTCTCCCTCCCTCCTACCTTCCCTCCCTCCTCTCCTTCCCTCTCTCCTTCCTTCCTTTTTTCCTTCTCTCCCTCCTCTCCTTCCTTCCTTCTTTTCTTTTTGTTGGTGTGCTGGTCCTGGGGTTTGAACTCAGGGCCTGGGCCCTATCCCTGAGTTAGTGCTCTACCACTTTGAGCCACAGCTCTACTTCTGGCTTTTTGGTGGTTCATTGGGCTCACAGACTTTTCCTGCCCAGATCCTCAGAGCTCAGCCTCCCGAGTAGCTAGGATTACAGGCGTGAGCCACCATTGCCTGGCTTTTTCATCTTCCTCCTTGATCTACATCCTCCTCCTCCTCCTCCTCTCTCCTTCCTATTCCTCTTCCTTCCCTCCTTCCTTGTCCCACACCCTAGCTGGCCTGGGGCAGGGATGGGGCCCCCATCTGCCTCCTCCTCACTAGGACACCCGTCTGTTCCCTCCCACCCCTTTCTGTCACCCCCTGTTCTGTCTGTACCCCACCCCTGAGTGCTGGAGGTAGGCCTAGGCCCCTTTGCCTGCAGATAGGAAATGAAACGGAGAGCCATCCAAAGAAGCTGGGACTAGACAGGCAGGCCTTCCTTCAGCTCAGTCTCTGCCCCCCACCCCTGCCATCCATCTGCCCCTCCACCGCATTGGATCACTGTGACCTTGGGGGGCTGGGGGAGGTGAAATGCACAGCGACCTCAAAGTCTCTTCTTCCTGTCTTCTCTTCACTCTGGGACACACATCCACCCATCCCTCATCCTTTGTGACCTCTGACCTGCGCTCCCCCCACCCCAGGTCCCAGAGCACCCCTTTCACCTCATCTGCACACTCGGGGTGGAGGAGCCCCATGGGATGGGCCTCAGGCCACCAGGCAATAACCAAGGGCCTGCAGCAGCCTGGGCCAGCCATCCATCCCAGCCCCGGCCAGCGCACAGCCACCACAGGAGCCTGGGACTGGCCGGGTTGGCTCCCCCAAGGAGGCAAGAGTGGGGGACAACCCTCCACGGACCCCCGGCACCCTTTCCACCCAGGATCGCCCCTCTGTGGAGACAGAGACACTGGCCTGACAGCAAGTCATCGCCAAACCCCTCGGTGGGGACCTCAGGGTGCTTGGTCAGGGGGGCGGGGTGCAGGGCCTGGCCATACGTAAAGCAAACATGCATTGGGGGGGCAGGGATGGGAGTGGGCACTAGCAGGCCCCGGAGACAGACTGTCCCAGGCTTGAGTACCTGTAGCAGTGAAATTTGGGGGACCGGGCACACCCATGAGCCCAGAGGGTGTGCGAACGTGGGTGTGAGCGAGGCATGACTTGGTGTGCGTGGGTGCGTATGTCTGTCTGTCTGTCCGCAGATGTTAGGTTTTTATGCCAGTCTGGACAGAAGGAGGACGTAGGGCATTAAGTCCTGGTGGGGAGCGTGGCGGCTTGTATTGCTGGCGATCAGCAGGGCCAGATGTGTCTGAACTGTAGCTCTGTGACTCTGTGCCCATTCCAGGCTGGGACCCGCTAACTCATGGCTCAAAATCTGTATCAGTCAGCTAGTGCTGCGTAAGGAGTGATTGCCAGTGTAGCACTGGTACGACACCCTGTAGGTGTATTATCTTGGAGGTTCTGGGGAGGCCAGAGGCCGAGGTGGGCCCTGATCTGGACTCTTGTAGGCTGTGATCACAGTGCTGGCTGGGCTGGGGTCTTCCCCTGGAGAAGCAACAGTGGGGAATCTGCTTCCAGCGCCAGCTACTGTGCCTTGTGGATGCCACACGGAAGACCTCAGCCCCTTGCCGGCTGCCTGTGGCCTTGGGGCCTCCTGTGGTTTCTGGCCACGGGGACTTCTCCATAGTGGAGCTGGAAACATGGCAAGAGAGAGAGAAAGGACCCTTACAAGGGCGGATGTCCATGTTCTGGAGGGTGAAGAGGCTGTGTGTGCGCATGCCTGTGTGCATTTTGTGCATGTCCTGGTCTCATGGAGGTGGGGCACTGTCTCTGAGTGTAGCTGACCCCCTTGTCTTTTAGCCAATCTGGAGGACCCAGCAGCTGGTGACCCCTCCCCCCCACAAACCCACTGCCCCCAAGTGGCTCCTGGCTGGACAGGGGCTGCAGCCCTGACTCAGGGACACACCCTGGTAGCACAATCTCCCGGGAGAGGGGGAACCCCTGGCCTCCCCAGGGTCTCCCCTGTTCCAGCCTGCCCGACCCTGGTGGGGGCGGGGAGGGCGGTGTGAGGAGGGCCCGGAGCCTGCCCCGGCTGCTGGCCGTGACACCTGGACATCCCTGGTGCTGGGGACCCTGCCAGGCCACACTTGTGGTGACCCCTGTCCCACTTTTCCCCACCCCGCATGTGGGAGCCCCCCAACCCTGCTGTGGGGTCCGTGTAGCATTCGCTCTAGACATAGTCTTCCTGCAATAAAGATGTGGATCCTGCCTTCCCCAGCAGTGTCCCGATCCTTCTTTGGGGAGAGGGTGGTGCTAGTCCTGCAAAGGATGGCGGGAGTGAGGGGGGAGGGGAGTGGATGTGGAGCACGGGGAAGGAGGGGAAGGAAAGGAGGGGGAAGGAAGGGAAGGGGGGAGGAGGAGGGAGGAAGAGAGTGGAGAAGAAGGCAGGTGTTCCACTGAATTTAAGGGGCAAAGGATGCTGACCACCAGTGGCTCCCACCTGTCATCCTAGCTACTCAGGAGGCTGAGATCTGAGGATCGTGGTTCAAAACCAGCCTGGGCAGGAAAGTCTGTGAGACGCTTAACCTCCAACCAACCACAGTGGCGCTGTGGTTCATGTGGTAGAGCACTAGCCTTGAGCAAAAGGAGCCTAGGGATAGCATCCGGGCCAGAGTTTAAGCCCCAGGACTAGGAGAAAAAAATGAAGTGATCCAGGCATGATGGTACACACCCCTGTAATCCCGGCTATTTGGGAGCTGGAGATAACAATGTAGTTAAAGCCATCCCAGGCAAAAGTTAGTAAACATCTATAGTATAAACAGGCTGGGCATGGCGACACCACAGTGTGGTGGTCTCAGTCATGTGGGAGGTGGAGGATCACTGTCCAAAGCCAGAGCAACAAAGGCTTTGGTTCACACAGATTTGTTTGTAAAAGCCCAAACTGGAAACAACGAAGTTGGTCTTCATTACATAGGTGGATGTTTAAACAAACTGGTCTATTCACATCATGGAATTAAGGCAATCAAAAGGAGAAGTCTGAGCCGGGTGCCGGTGGCTCACGCCTGTAATCCTAGCTACTCAGGAGGTTGAGATCTGAGGATCGCGGTTCAAAGCCAGCCCAGGCAGAAAAGTCCGTGAGACTCTTATCTCCAATAAACCACTAGAAAACCGGAAGTGGCGCTGTGGCTCAAGTGGTAGAGCGCTCACCTTGAGCTGAAGAGCGCAGGGACAGCGCCCAGGCCCAGAGTTCAAGCCCTACGACCGACCAAAAAAAAAAAGGAGAAGTCTGGGTACATAGCTCAGCGGTAGAGTGCATACAAAAAGGCTCTGGGTTCAATCCTGACATGAACAAAGAAGCAAAATGTTGATAGAAGCCACAACTTTAGCACCATCTCCAGGTAATGATATGAACTGGAAATATATAAGCCAATAGACAAAGCTGACATCCTTTGTAACCATTGATCTTTTCTTTGGAGATGGGGTCCTCCGCCCATCCCCTCTGCTCCCATCACCGCTCCCCTGTGGAGTTCTGGGATTACAGGCAGGTGCCACTAGGCCTGACTGCCTATAATAGCATTCAGGAATGACACATATGGAGACCCTGATTGGCCAGGTCTGCTGGGAAGGGGGCATGACCACAAAGGCTGGAGGGATCCTCCTGGTGGTAGAGACGTGTTATAGCAAGGTGGGTGTCCTGGCTGACATTGTATGGGACAGAGGTCCTCATAGCCCGGAACTGAGGGAGCAAACACAAGCTTCCTCTCTATTAATTCTGCATGACTGTGTCCTGATCTCAAGCTAAAAATAATATCATTTAAAAATAGTAGCCGGCGCCAGGCGCCAGTACCTCATGCTTGTAATCCTAGCTTTTTAGGAGGCTGAGTTCTGAGGATTGAAGTTAGAAGCCAATTTTGACAAGGCAAGTCTGTCCAATTAATCTCCAGTTAGTCTGCAAAAATCCAGTAGTGGAGTTGTGGCTCAAGTGGTAGAGCACCAGCCTTGAGTGAACACACACACACACACACACAGAGCCAGAAGTGGAGCTGTGGCTCAAGTGATTGAGCGCCAGTCTTGAGCTAGCTCAGAGACAGGGCCTAGCCTCTGAGTTTAAGCCTCAGTGTTTGTACCTACCCCCCCCCCCCCCCAAATACCCCAAATTCAGGGTCTGGATCAGATGTCCTCGTCCCCTCCACCCAGCCTGTGCTGGCTTCAGCCTCACCTCAGTGATGTGTTCTCAGTCACTACATCCGGTAACTTCAGGAAAATTCTGGGTATTCTGATTTTTCAAGAACACCTGGAGATCAAACTTTCTTTGGGGGAAACATTCGGATTCATTTTTTCTTCTTTTTCTGAGCCAGCATCTCTGTGTGGTAGGCCAGGCTGGCCTAGAACTTGAGGACTGGAAAGACAGCATAACCACCATGCTTGGCTCATTAACAAGGAATTGAAAAAATGGTAGACTTTTGGATCCCATTTCACTGGTAGTCTGCCATCTTTGTTTAGACTTCTCATGAGGGATGTAGGCTGGGGGCAGAGGCTAGCCAGGGGAACAGACAGACAGGGAGGGAAACACCCACACCCAGGGGCCTCATTTTCCCTATTCCCAGAGTCAGAGACAGCTGGGGGCTAGCAGAAGGAAAGAGAGGCTCCTTCCGGGGTGACAGGTGCCTTGGGGAGCCTGTTAGCTTGGGATCACAGAACACCAGTGTTGGACCAATGTTAGTCACCTGACTATGATGGCTGCTTTCTCCTTCCTAGCTAAGACTCTGTTCAGGACTGCACACTGCTTGCAGAGACACGCACAGCAGGACTGGTTAAAAATGCAGGTGCCAAGGCCAGGCATGGTAGCGCATGCCTGTCATCCTGACTACTCAGGAGTTGGAGATCTGGCGGATGTAGGTTGGGGGGGGGGGGGAGGGAGGGAAATAGTGAGATCCCATTTCAATCAATAAGGTGGACATGGTGATGTGTGCCTTTCATCCCAGCTAGGAGGTACAGGGAGGAAGACAGGTCCAGGCTGGCTCTGGATGAGAAGGTGAGACCCAACTCGGAAAATAAAGCAAGTAAGAGCCGAGGAGTGGCTCGAGTGGTGGAATGCTCGCCTAGCTAGGGCCAGGATCAAGTTCTAACCCCATTACCACTTTTTAAACAGTGAGTTAATATAGTTATAATAATTTCATATCCAGGCCTTATTCCCAGAAGTTCCACGAGGGGGAGCCTAAGCAGCACTCATGAAATCATTTGTTATTGGCATTCTCTCCACTCAAGAAAACGCTCAGAGCTAGGATTCAGGAATTGGAAGCTGTGCCCCTGCCCGGGATTCGAACTCGAGGCTGACTAGCGCCTCCTCGACGTCACGCAATCACCTCCGGAAAGCCTCACCCGGGCCACCGCCAAGTCCACCACGGAACGCCAGTATTAGCATATCCCGCCCACCCGCGCCTTTCCCGCTCGCGGGTGGCCAGCCGCACTGTCACTCACAGCTCCGCCCTCGACTCTGGCCGGGCCCGAAGCCCCGCCCCTCTCTCCTCCGCGCAGCCTACCCCGCTGCCGGCTCCGCGCCCCGCCCCCGGCTCCGGCCTCTGCAGTCGTGGCTTGTGATTGGTCATTGCGGGACCCTTGGGTTCCGCCCCCGGCAGCAGGCCCCGCCCTGCGGAGGGGAGAGCGCCGGCGGGCCGGGGCGGCGGGTTCGGCTGCGCGGCGGGACTGAGGCGGCCGCGGCCGAGCGCAGGTAAGGTCGCCCGCGCCGTCGGGGCTCCGCCGCCGGCCTGGGGCTCGGCGCCGGCGGACGGAGGCTGGGGCTGGAGTTGGGGCGCGGGGTTCTCTCGGGAAGGAGCGCGGTTGGTGGGGTCGAAGCTGGCTGAGGAGAGCGAGTTGCAGTCGGGGGTCCGGGGGGGCTGGAGTCGGAGTTCGGGGGTCAGAGTCGGGGGGCCGGAGTCGGGGTCCGGGGGCCGGAGTCGGGGGTCCGGGGGCCGGAGTCGGGGTCCGGGGGCCGGAGTCGGGGTCCGGGGGCCGGAGTCGGGGGCCGGGGGCCGGAGTCGGGGGTCCGGGGGCCGGAGTCGGGGTCCGGGGGCCGGAGTCGGGGTCCGGGGGCCGGAGTCGGGGGTCCGGGGGCCGGAGTCGGGGTCCGGGGGCCGGAGTCGGGGTCCGGGGGCCGGAGTCGGGGGCCGGGGGCCGGAGTCGGGGGTCCGGGGACCGGAGTCGGGGGTCCGGGGGCCGGAGTCAGGGTCCGGGGGGCCTGAGTCGGGGTCCGGGTTAGTGAGGGGGGCCGGAGTCGGGGGCTGAGGCTGGAGTCGGGGTCCGGGTTAGTGAGGGGGGCCGGAGTCGGGGTCCGGGTTAGTGAGGGGGGCCGGAGTCGGGGTCCGGGTTAGTGAGGGGGGCCAGGAGTCGGGGTCCGGGTTAGTGAGGGGGGCCGGTGTCAGGGTCCGGGGGGCCGGAGTCGGGGTCCGGGTTAGTGAGGGGGGCCGGAGTCGGGGGCTGAGGCTGGAGTCGGGGTCCGGGTTAGTGAGGGGGGCCGGAGTCGGGGGCTGAGGCTGGAGTCGGGGTCCGGGTTATCGAGGGGGGCTGGAGTCGGGGTCCGGGTTAGCCAAGGGTCTGGAATTGGGGTCCAGAGGAGGAGCTGGAGTTGAGGTTCAGGTGAACAAGGGGAGGCAGGAGTTGGGGTGCAGATTAGCTGGGGAGAATTGGGGCTGGAGTCTGAAGTAGGGTTTGTGCAGCAGAAGCTGTTAGAAGTTGGGGGGAGCCAGGCAGGGGGTGAGGAACATACTTGAGTCCCAGTTAGAGAGGAATGGGAGGGCTCCTGGATAGGGTTTTCTGGAAAGGTCCAGCGAAGTTAGGACAGAGCTTGAGGAACAGAGAGGTTCTACGTGGGGGTGAGGGCCAGGCTTGATCTGGAGGAGTGTGGGGGGGAGGGGGGGGCTGGTCCCTGTCTGGGGTCCTGGGAGGAGGTGGGTGGGGGGCAGAGGCTGAGATGGCCTAGGCCAGGTGCCCTACTGGATGGAGGTGACCACTTAGGAGAATTGGGAGGGGCTGGGATGGGTTTTCCCCTAAAGATTTGGAGACTAATCTCTCCAGGCCCTGGTGAGGAGGGAGCACTAATCACCTGGGGTTCAGATTGAGATGGGGTGAAGCTCCCTGGAAGAAGGGTGCATCAACACCCCAAGGTCTCTTTCTAGGATGGAGGGGCCCATGGAGCCACGCTGGGGTGCATAGAGGCTCATGGCAGGGCTTGAATCTTTTAGGGATGACCTTGGGAGTTTGGGGGGGGGGAATGATGCCAAAGGATGTGGGTGGCATTTCTTCCCCTGGGGTGAAGGGGGACAGCTGGAGATTGGCTGGTGACTTGCTGAGAGGCTGTGATGGTGTTGCTAGGTATCAAACCGCCAAGGCCAAGTTCACAAGCTGGTCTTGTGCCATGCGCATGCGTGTGTCCATGCGTCCGTGCGCGTGTCCTGGTGTAGCCAGGACCCTGCAAGATTATGTCCCAGCGCTGGGAGATGGATGGACCTGTGTTCAGAGTTTGCCTTTAGCTGGTCTCACTTCTGTGCTCTTCCCTCCTCCCCCATCTTGAGGGCGTGAGAAAGACAATGGTATACCTGGTTGGGACACCCCTGCGCATGCGCCCCCTCCCCACGCGCCCCCCCCCATGTGCCAGGGCCCCCTCCCCTAGGCTGGCAGCATGCTTGAAGCTTTGAACACAGTGTTCTAAATTAAGGATTTTCTTGGGGGGCTGGGAGGAGATGGAGGGGATGACAGGGTTGTCATAGAAGAGAGAAAAGAATTGCAGCTCGAGGCCTGCACTACCATATTGGTACATGGAAGAAGAACCCCAGGAGTTTCAAAAATGAATTTGCAAATAAGGGACAAAAGGAAAGGAGAGAGGGAGAAGGAATGAAGGCAGACAGGCAAGCATGCAAACATTTTCATATTATTAAAAAAGAGAGGCCAGGTGCTGGTGACTCACACTAACAATCTTGGCTACCCAGGAGGCTGAGATCTGAGGATCAAGGTTCAAAGCCAGCCCGGGCAGGAAAGTCTGTGCAAGTCTTATCTCTAGTTAACCACCAGAAAACCAGAAGTGGAGTTGTGACTCAGGGTGATAAAAGGCTAGCCTTGAGCAGAAAAGCTCAGGGACCGTGCCCAGGCCCTGAGTTCAAGCCCCACGGCCAACAAAAATAAATTAGGGCTGGGAATGTGGCTTAGTGGAAGAGTGCTTGCCTAGATGCATGAAGCCCTGGGTTCGATTCCTCAGTGCCACATAAATAGGAAAGGCTGGAAGTGGTGCTGTGGCTCAAGTGATAGAGCGCTACCTTTAAGCATAGACAGGCTCAGGGACAGAGCCCAGGTCCAGAGTTCAAGCCCCAGAACTGACAAAAAAATAAAAATAAAAAAAAAATAAAAGAGCATTTGCCTAGCACTCACCAGGCACATAGAAAATAAACATATGAGTGAAAGTGAAGGGAACACTAAATAGGAAGAATATGTCTGGATCCCACATCCAGTGGTGAAGAAACAACTTGTCTATTTGAGATAAGGGTGCTTGATTATTCCGATTTAGAGCCAACGCCGTAAGAAATCATTGCAAGCTCACACCTGTGTGCTGGTTGGACCCACCTGTAATCCCAGCTACTCAGGAAGCTGATACTTGAGGATTGTAGTTCAGAGCAGCTTAGGCAGGAAAGTCCAGAACACTCCTAATGTCCAATGAACCACCAAAAAGCTGGAAATGGATGTGTGGCTCAAATGGTAGAGAACTAGCCTTGAGCCCAAAAAGCTCAGGGACAGCGCCCAGGCCCTGAGTTCAAACCCCAGGACCAGTACAAAAAGAAAAAAAAAAAATCTCACCTGGAGAGGAGAAAGGAATCACACTGCTTCTAGAGAATTCTCCACAGAGTGATTTGTTTTTCCTTTGTGACTTGACTGACCAGTATCAGGCATGGAAAAATGGCCATGGGGACAATTTCTGTCTTTGGTTTTCAGTGGGGCTTGGGGGTGGGGGTGGGAAGCACGTTTGAGGTCCTGGGGTGATTCTTGGTCTTGTAGGGAACAGCATTCAGGGGGATATCTGTTGAGTAATGCTCTTATTTTCTGTCCGAGTTTCATGCTTCGTCAAGCGTGGGACCCTGTTGTTTGAATGAAAAGCACACAGGAATTATCTTCACTCATACACCTCACTGGCTTGGTGCTTACTGAATGGATTTTTTTCTTTTTGTGCACTGCATAGTAACATTTTAAAAAGTTGCGTTTCTATTCAAGGTGTTGTAGCAGCTTTTCTCATTTGCAGCTGGAAGCAGATGGTCTTTTAAATGGTATTTACTGGCCTGAGGTGTGGCTCAGTGGCCAGCACTTCCTTAGGACCTGGGTTTTCATCCCAATACAGCAAAAATAGAACCCCCAAAAGGTGTTGATTTCAGGGGAGCTGGTGGCTCATGCCTGTCATCCTAGCTACTCAGCTGGCCAAGAGCTGAGGATCACAGGTGGAAGCCATCCCAGGCAGGAAATTCTGAGACTCATCTCCAAATAACCAGCAAAAAGCTGGAAGTGGAGCTGTGGCTCAGATGGTAGAGTACCAGCCCTGGGCAAAAAAACTAAGGGATCGTGTCTAGGCCCTGAGTTTAGGACCCATTACTGGCACACACACACACACACACACACACACACACACACACACACACACACACACACACACACACACACAAACACAAACACACACACATTTAACAAGCAATAGTGTTTATTAAATTTAAATTTTTAACTTTTTTGTTGTTGTTGTTGGTTGTGGGGCTGCCCCTGCACTCTTCAGCTCAAGGCCAGTGCTGTACCGCTCGAGCCATAGCACCACTTTGGGTTTTCTAGTGGTTTATTGGAGATAAGAGTCTCACAGACTTTCCTGCTTTGAACTGTGATCCTCAGATCTCAGCCTTCTGAGTAGCTATGAGCCACCAGCGCTCTGCCTCAAAAAACCTTTATAACTCTCTTTCCCTTCCTTTCTTCCTTTTGTGTTAGAAATAGAACCCCAAGCTGTGTGCATGGTAGTTAAACTTCATTCTTCGACGTCCCAACCATTGTAAATACTATATTTATTTTATTTTGTTTTGTTTCTAATGTAGCCCAAGCTGCCCTTGAATCCTCCTACCTCAGTCTCCTAAGTGCTGGGATTACAGATGGATCCTACTGCACCTGGCTTGTAATTCGTTTTGTTTTGTCTTTTTGTGCTAGCCCTGGGGCTTGAACTCAGGGCCTTGAGTGTGCTCAGGTTGCTTGCTTGACTGGAGCTCTACCACTTGAGCCACCTCTCCAGTCTGGACTTTCCTGCCTGGGCTAGCTTCTCACTTGGACCCTCAGATCTCAGCCCTCTCAGTAGCTAGGATGACAGGAGTGAGCTGCCAGAACCTTGGGTAGGTTTGTAATTTCTTTCAAAAAGGCTGTGATTGGCCTCTGAGTTTGGAATTTTCTAGAGAAGACCATTGCTGTGGCCATCATGGCACCGGTCAGGGTTGATGGAAACAGAGTTTCTGTCTTGTGTCCTGGAGGCAGCCCAGCGTGAGTGAATGCCTGAGCTCGCTTTTCCTTCACTGGGAGGTTTGTCACAGGCAATTCTTCTTAAGTCCCTGAGTTCAAACCCCAGTGTCCATCCACTGTCCCTGTCCCCTAAGAGCTGGGGGAAAAAAGCAAGTGTGATGTCTAAATGGGAAACTCTAAGGTTTGGGGTGAGTTGTCTGGGGGCACACACCAGCCTCCGCGTGTTTGCTCCCCTTTTCCTGTGGGGATGGACCCCATTCTCCCTGGGTTTCTGGGGGACCCCTCATGTCTCATCACACCACTGGTAGGTGACAGCTCCTCAGAGCTTCTATATGCCATTGTAGGTTCTTCTCGAGATTTCTGCAAAGGGAGAAGTCTTACACAGCTTTTGAATTTTAAATGGATGGAGGCATAATTTGCATATCTTAAAATTCAGCCGTTTTATGCATATAATTTAGGGGGTTTTGATAAGCTTATGCAGCCATTTCCATAAATGGATTTTGAGGGGGAGGCAGTAGTGGGGTTAGAATTCAGGGCCTCTCACTTTCAAGAGAGGTGTTCTACTACTTGAGCCACATCTCCAGCCCTTTTTTGCTTTAGTTGTCTTTGAGGTAGGGTCTTGCATTGTTGCTGGGGTTGACTTCAGGCCTCAGTTCTCCCACGTATGGTGTCTGGAGTACCTGGGATGTCAGGCATGCACTAATATGTCCAGCTCACTGGTTGTAAGGGGTCTTGGGACCTTTTTATTCACGCTAGCTCAAATCAC